TGGGATTAAAGGCATGCGCCACCACCGCCTGGCTGAAACGGATTCATTTTCCAGAAGCTTATGGTCAAATGAAGAGATTAGATATCACAAATTATGAGTTATCCAAAGGGGCAACCGTGAGAGTGTTGTACTTCACCAACTAAGTCCTAAATTTCTTTTAATTCTTACCCAGTGTGTTGTATTCTGTTATAACAACACAAATCAACTGAGAAAACAATTAACTCTAAAATCCAGTCTAGCCCTGAACTCCTCTTCTCCTAAATTGGGGTGTACAAATTCTGAAACTTCTCAACAACTCAAATCTAGCTTTTTTAAAGTATAATTCATGGGCTCAAGAGATGGCTCAGCAGTTAAGAGCACTAGCTATTCTTCCAGAGGTCCCAGGAACCACGTGATGGCTCACAACCATCTGTAACAAGATCTGGCACCCTCTTCTGGCCTGTAAGCAGAACACTATATACATAATAAATAAGCAAATCTTTTAAAAAAAAGTATAATTCATATGTGTGCACAAATACATTTTACAAAATACATTCAATATGGTTTGGACCTATTGTTCTTTTCTTAAAGAATCTAGAATGCTTCCTTTAGTGTCCTGCAAATGGGGCCACAAACGTTTACTTTAAAGAAAAAGAGGTTTAAATTACAATGCAAATGTAATACTTGAGAGTGATGCTGACTTAAGTATGATATCAACAAATGCTAAAAGAACATAGGAGAAAATGAGAATTTTTCTTTTAGCCAGTGTGACTTAAAGACTCCCTGTCCTTCCTTCCTTCCTTCCTTCCTTCCTTCCTTCCTTCCTTCTTTCCTTCCTTCCTTCCTTTCTTTCTCTTTCTTTCTTTCTCTTTTTGAACAGGAGAAATGCTTTTATTGGAAGAGCAGTGTGGACATGAGAGGAAAGGATGACAGAAAGCAAGGGAGGGGGACTCTCTTTTTAAAGACTGACTATGAGATCTGTAGATCAAGCTGGACTTGAACTCACAGAAATCTATCTTCCTCTGCTTCTGAGTGCTGGGGATTAAAGACGTGCCACTATGCCTGGCTGAGATTCCATAAAGGAGTAAAATTCTGGAATAGTGAAAAACTGTAATGATCTGTCCTGTCCCTTTAAGAGACAAGCCACGCCCACTCCCCCCATCTGCTGAGGCAAGATGATCTTCAGCTTCCAGCCTGAATCCTTTCCTCCTTTCCTTTTTCATCTCCCTCTCGAATTCTGCCTCTCCCCACTTCTGTCTCTCCCTTCTCTCCCTCTCTCTCTCTCTGCTTCTCTGCTCTTCTCCTTCTCCCCCTTCCCTTCCATAACTAAATAAATATCCAACCTCATTCTGCATGGAATGCCTATCCATGTCTCTGTGTCTTGCTGGCTGCGTGTCTCCCTGCCTGGGACCAGCCGCCTTCGGAGACCTGCAGTGCAGTCTCACGGTGTGCCCATCCGTCTGTCTCTCCTCATGGCCTGCTGCTGCCGCTCGGGGACCTGCAGCATTTTACTTTTACCATTATAAAAACTCTCAAATCTTATATCATTTTAAATGTTTTAAAACTTATTATTACTGTGTAGGTACAATGTGTATGTGTTTGCCTGTGTAGGGAGTGTCTGTTCATGCAGGACCAGAGAGCAATTCAACTTTGTGCAATTAAGCCTTGACATCCTAAATTCAATCCCTAGGAACCACACAAAGATAGAAGATGAGAACCAATTGCATCTTTGTGTGGTTCCTAGGGATTGAATTTAGGATGTCAAGGCTTTATCCATGATAGGTATTATTGCTTGCACACAAATATTTGACATTAAAGGAAGGACAGGTGGGATGCAGCTCAGAATACTCACTCAAGTATTTGAGCCCAGGAATTTAAAAATTTACAGTGTAATATAGTGAGATGCTATCTCAAAACAAGGCCTTGTGGGAGCTGGAAAAAATGGTTCAGATGTTAAGAGCACTTGCAGAAGACTTGGGTTCAGCTTCCAGCACCCATATGGTGGTTCACAACCATCTGTAAGCCCAGCTCCAAAGAACCTGACACCCTGTACATATACTCGTACACATTAACATTAAATAAATAAATCTAAAGTTTTAAAAGCTTTTTGATTTTGTTTATCATTGTTGGATTGATTTTATTCTACTGCTTAAAGGGTAGGAATTATGCCTTATTCCTCTCTGTATTAGCTAAAGTCAAATATGATGTACTTAGCAGACATTTGCCTATTTCCTCATTTCAGAGTCATAAACGCGGGGAAAGGGCTAAGACCAAAGGAGAAGACATGTCTTTTGATTACTGCTTTTAGGTTAACCATTGATTTTAAGGTTGGGGAACTTGCCCAGGCTAGATTAGTCTGGTTAATCAGCACATGGGAGGCAGAAGCAGGTGGATTTAGCAGAAGTTGGAGGCTAGTCTGGCATAAATTTTGAGTACCAAGCCAACCAGAGATGCACAGTAAAATTATGTCTCAAAAACAAACAAGTAAGGAGGGCCAGGCGGTGGTGGCGCACGCCTTTAGTTCCAGGAGGCAGAGGCGGGCAGATATCCGTGAATTCAGTCACATAACCAACCATCCTAGATATCAGTACTCATGCTTTGATTACTCTTCAATATCCTAAGAAGGATCAAGAAAGTTGTGAAGTCAAGTCACAATGCAGGCAGCATTTTAAAAGTAAACTGCACGCAAAAAAGGAACCGAAAGGCAGTGTCAGCGTTCACTGTCAGCTGCTCCACTTCCTTAACAAAGCCAAATCAGAGACTGCTCACCAAACTTTCTGTAGTCTTGTTTCTTCATTTAATGTGTGGGTGGGGGGGGGGTTGTCTGCACGTGTGTCCTGTGCTCAACAAGGCCAGAAGACGGTGTTGGATTCCCAGGACGGGAGTGAGATGGCTGTGAGCCACCGTGTGGGTAGTGGAATCAAACCCAGAAGAGAAGAAGCCAGTGCACTTAACCACTGCACCATCTCCCCAGCTCACTTTTCCTGTCCTTAAGCTTAAATATGATTCTGGTTTCCTAACTACTACTGGGGACAAAACTCAATCTACCTTTTTTTTTGTTGAGTCTTTACCCTCAGTCATATCTGTAATTAATCTCGAGTCCTTCATGAAGCCTGCTCAGGGAAGCAGACCTGCTCAGGGAAGCAGACTAGCTGATCCCGGAAAAACTGTTCTTGGGTCAGGAATCAGGAGAAGAGCACATGACTGTCATCTGCCTAGTCAGCAGCAGATTCTTTGATGCATGGAAGTTGAGAGCCTTAAAATTCCTTTATAGACTTTCCTCAAATATTCTCACATAGTGAAGACTATGAAATTAAAATATGCCTTAAAGCTAGGTGTGACACCACATGCTTTTAATCCCAGCATTCAGGAGGCAGACAGGCAGATCCTTGTGAGTTCAGGGCCAGCTTGGTCTACAGAAAGAATTCCAAGGCAGCCAGGGCTTCACAGTGAGACCGTCTCAAATAAATAAACAAACCTTAAAGATATTCAAAAGGCCCCATATACAGACACACACAAAACAGGTTTTGGCTGAAAATCAGGTCAACGGCAGCAGTGGTTGTAAATGTTTGGGGAGAAATATGAAAGAATGGAAACATTTTTCTAGTCAAAATGGTAACTTCAGGTTCACTGAGAGAACCTGTCTCAAAAAATAAGGTGGAAGGCTACAGAGATCACCTGATAGTGAACCTCTGTCCTCTACAAACATGTTCACAGAATGCATACACCACACATAACGTGACGTGTACACATGTGTGTGTGCATGCATGCATGTGTGCACATATAAGTAAAACCAAAAGAGAGCTAGTCATTTTACAGTCATTTCTGTATTGAATTCCAGTATAGCAGGTCAATCACTATTGTGACCGCTCAGCATCTGATAGGATGATGGGCATGTTGATGCATCTGTCTTTTCTTGAGTAGGTTCATCACTATGCAGAAAACTTGTACAGTACATGTTCAAAGAGGGGCTCTGCAAAGATGTGAGCTTTGCAGTTACCAAGACTGAAGGGAGTCGAGAGGTCCACTAAGACAATGGAAGGATGAACAACACTAAGTTAATTGTTAAAGGCGGGGAACCTCCCTTTTAAAACGTCTGTCCTGAGACAGCACACGAAACTGGATGCAGTCTCTCCCGCTGGCTTTAAGCCTTGGGGCTTACAAAACGTGATTTCGCAGGCACTTCCTGAGCAATCAGTATCGTCGCGGAGTAAAAGTTCCGAGTGCCAGAGTGAAATGGACAACATAAGCAGTTCTGTCAGGACTTAGATTTCAGTAAGAAGAAGGAAATAAAGCAGTCTATTCTGCCTGGGGCTGTGAAGGCAGAGAACCACCGAAAAGGTAACGTCCGCGGTAGGCTTTGGAGGAAGCTGACCCTCCAGCTCCTGGTTCAAAGTGTCACCACCTGGTTCACTGGAAAGAGAAAGTTTCTTGAGTTTACAACTCATATTTATAGGAGCTGAGTCCTATAAAAGCCCCGAGGCAGGCAGTCTTCTCGGCAATCATCTCCATTTCACTGGAGATACTGTGATTCATAAAGCAAAAGGGTGTCAAGGGAGATGCCAGGTCCTGAACCAAATCTGACACCAGAGTGCGGCCAGGTCTGGACCCGGAAGAGATGGACCCCTGCAGCCACCCACGGTCTCTCGGCCCTGCGCTCCGGCCCCGACTTCTCAACCACTCACCCGCCGCTTGGCGAGAGGAAGTCGGTGTCATCCTCGTCCCCAGCCCCGAACATCACGTCGGCTTTTGCTCGAGTGAAGGGAGGAAGCCGGATGTTCCCAGGGCCTGTCACAACTGATGTCGTAAATTGCCGCAGCGGCGAGCTGCTTTCCGGCAGGAAAACTCTCTGGTTGTAGCTGGGCCCAGAGGAGACCCGGCGGTGGAGAAGGTGGAGCAAAGGCAAATGAGACGGTGAGCGCCTGGTGACGCGAAGCCTCGCCAGCCCCCGAGAGGGTGGAGCTCCTGGGCGCGGAGGGAGGATTGGTCAGATAACCCAGGGGGCGGGTCCAGGGCGGGAATCGGTGGCCTCTGCTGCGGTCGTGGGACACGTCGAGCCGGGCAGTAGTGGCGGGGGCTTGGGAGAAGTCCAGACCGGGTGAGGGGATCCAGTTCGGAGAGGAAGGCACGGGCGGCGGAGCTCGTCCTGGAAAGGTAAGGCCTTCTCCCCTCCCTTTCCCAGTCCCAGCGTGTTCGCCGTCCTTTTCCCCTCCCGACCCAGGACCCCCCGCCGCTCCTCTTGACTGTGTGGACAGAGAAAGAGCCCGTGACTACAAGTCCGGGGATCTGAGCCGTGCGGTGGCCCGGCCCCTACAGCGTTACTGCTGTTATGCCCTTAGGCAGGATGCTCGGGACCTCAGTTTCCCCATTTACGCAAAGGACCGTGTGTCCACTGCTTCCATGTGCGTCTTGCCAAGGTTTTAAATCTCAGCGATCATCGAGTCCTATCCGGGTCTCTTCGTAATCAACGAATTTGCAAGCAAGAAAACTAACCGCTTGGGTGACTAGTCCGAGGTCACGCAGAGTAAAGCGAAAACCTGATCCTTTGTATCAGGGTTTAGAGAGCTGACGAGTGGCAGCCCTGGCCCTTAACTTGACTGTGTGGCATACGTCTTGGGGAAGGACCCCGATTCTAAAATCCAGATAGGAGAGGTTCAGAAGAGCTGAGACATTCGGGAGGGTGGATGATGGGACTTTGAAAGTAGAAAATCATCAGATCACACTTGCTGGGCTGAGTTTCGCTGCTAAGGTTTTAAGTCATTGTTACTTGTTGCTGACTTCTCCGCCTCTAGTCTTCACCGTGTGTGTGTGTGTGTGTGTGTGTGTGTGTGTGTGTGTGTGTGTGTGTGTGTGTGTGTATGTGTGTGTGTGTGTGTGTACGCGCACGCGCGGGTTCTGTGTTCTGTATTTCTTTGGTGAACCCGATATCATTTTTGAACGATCATGAACCAGACCTGGTGAGCCACGCTGTGGATACGCAGATAGTGTGTCCCATTGTAGCGTCCATTTCCACAATGTCATCTTCTCAGTCAGTTGTTCCTCTAAGTGTCCCCTACCGGAATGCTTTAGTGTTAGGATGATGTTGAAGGAATGGGTAGCTCCCTCCCAGAGAACTTTGTACCTCCTGGCACTTCCCTCTTTATTATAGTTTTTGAACTATTACTGTTAAGTTGTAAGTCTTCTTGACCACAGTGGGTTCTCATTTAATTTTTTTATTAGATTAATTAACAGAATTTATCCTTGTTCCCTGGTTCCTTAATTTATTCATCATATCCCCCCCCCCCCCACCCAAAGAGCCAGCGATGGCTCCTGTCTTTTTATAGGTAGCTTCCAGAAAGATAAAAATGCTGTACTGGCTGTAAACTGTCTGGGTTGCTTGGTCTCTTTTGTTCATTGAAGATGATTGTACTATTGTCTAAAACTCCCGGGAAGGAGGGGGAAGGGGGATAAAATAACTAGAAATATTATACATTACTTACAATTTTTGTAAGTAAATTATTCGTGTTTATCTTCAGATAAGGCTGTTGGTCTGCTCCTGTGTTTATTTTACAGATTAAGACCGTTCAAGCAGTGAAGTCGACTGTTAGAGCAATGATAACTGAAACATGCAGTAGGCCTAGAGTAATAGCTCTGTTTAAATTGTGAACTTGAGTGGGTGTTGCGGGGTGTGTGTGTGTGAATGGATAGGTTCTAACTCTCTTTCTCCCTCTCCTCTCTCTCTCATAGTTTTTTTGGGTTGTTTTGTTTGGTATTTTGTTGTTTTGTTTTGTTTGAGACAAAGTTTCTCTATGTAGCCCCAGCTGTCCTGGAACTCACTCTGTAGATCAGGTTGGACTTGAACTCAGAGATCTGCCTGCCTCAGTGCTGGGTATACACCCAGCATGGTTTTTTGTTTGTTTGGTGTTTGGCATTTGTTGTTGGTGGTGGTGTTTTTATTTTTTTGAAATCGTCTATTTATGTAGTAGCCCTAACTTCCCTGAAACTCAATATGTAGACCAGACTGGCCTCGAACTCTCACTGAGGTCCTCCTAAGAGAACGTCTGACCTCTTTTCTTGCATTTTTGGGTGGAGGAGTGGTTTTTTTCTCATGGGTGTTTTAAATGGCCTTTCTTAGATTTTTAGTAACCCTAAAACTGGCCTGATTGGTTATTGGGACACAGTAGGCAGGCATAGTATCTGATCTTGAATTCCATTCCTAACTTGAGGAAGAGAAATGTAGAAATGAGTCTTCCTTTCAGCTTAGAATTGGAAATGTAGGATCTGGTGCTTCTACAAAGCTGGTCTTCCTGGATTAGGATATCCAGTTTGGTACTATTGGATTAGAGTCAGGAAACCTGAGTTCCTGCCCCAGCCTTTGTAACACTTCAGAGTTTGAGCCAGGTTCCCCAAACACCTTTAAAAAGTGACAGATCAGATGTAGACACGTCTGCTGAGAACCGGGAGTGCAGAGATAAGTAATAAATACAGCCCTGAGCTCAGGTTCCAGTTGAGTGTGTTTGCTCTGTTTCTTAACCATACAACTCTGAATGTGTAGAAAATGTATTGATCATCAAGTGCGGTGGCACACCTCTTTAATCCTAACACTTGGAAAGCAGAGGTAGGTGGATCTTGAGAATTAGAGGCCAGCCTAGTCCATATAATGAGTTCCAGGTCAACCAGGGTTACATAATGAAAAATGTACATCCATACAGAGAGTGTGAGAGAGATTTCCTGAATATTAACTAGGAAGCAGCAAATTTAATAATTTCTTTCAAATCAAATTTGCAAAAAAATGACAACTTTTTTATTAGGCAAGTTCATATTACTATCTTCTGGTGGTATAGAGATATGAATTGAATGTAGATTTAAACTGTATATAGTATTCTATTCACTCAAGTCACTAAAAGCAGAATCTATAATACAATTGGAGAAATACTACCTCAGAATCTACTGTGTGTAAAACTTGTGTCAATTGAAAATGAACCTCTAGGAAATTATTGTAGAATATCAAAGTAGGAAGAGATTCTGTCTTCTCTTCATTATAATCCAAAAGGAAACTGGACTGAAGGTTCTTTTTTTTTTTTTTCCCCTGAGACAGGGTGTCTCTATGTTGCTTTGGAGCCTGTCCTGGAACTCTCCTGTAGAACAGGCTGGTCTCAAACTCACAGAGATCCACCTGCCTCCGCCTCCCGAGTGCTGAGATTAAAGGCGTGCGCCACCACCCAGTTTCTGGATTGAAGTTTTTAAGATTAATACCAGTGCCCTAAACAGTGTTTACCATGCCTTAAACCTCAGCCAATCTGCATAACCTCACATTCTGGGGATTAATTTTTTTCCCTTTTAGATTCCTGAACTACTGAAATTGTAGGGTTACATAGAGGGCTTTGAAGATGACTAGAATTCCAAAAGGATGCTGGGAGGAGGTCAGGTTTTCCAGGTTGAAGGAGCAGCTTTGGCAAACACAGGCAGGCACGTGTCTCCATGGCACTGGGGATTGCAGCCAGGATTTTGCACAAGCTGGGCAAGCTTCTACCACTAGGCTTACGGATCACCAGCCTACAGGGGGCTTTCAAAATTTTACAAGACAAGAGTTGTCCTTTACCTGCTACACTTAGGACTGTGGCTTGGCTAACTAAAGTATGTTAAAGTAGGGAATCATACACATTGTACCGTCCTATTTCAACTTTAAGCACAAATATCCTCTGTAGGCTTTGTTGTTTTTAACCTAAAACCTCAATTTTTTTCTTGGAGTATGGTTCTCAGAGATCTATGGACTACAGGCAAATCTTACCTCAGCTGCCTGTTTTATAGTTCTGTTGCAACACAGCTGTGCTCATTCATTTACATATTATCTAGGGCTACTTTCATTCTACAAGGTAGAGTTGAGTATCTGCAGTGAAAACGGCATGAGCCACAGTGTTTGAATGTTTAGTAATTGGTCCTTTATAGAAAGCTTATCAACCCCTGGCCTGAATCATGTATGGCTGCTTTCTTCAACATACAATAACTGCTTAAAAGCCATTCACAAAGCAGCCTGACTACAAAATTTTTCTAGATATTTATGAAATTTTCTGCCAACCTTTAGAGTTGATTCCTGCATCTAACAATGGGTTGTGGGCATCTGTATGACTGTCTCTTACCTAGTCTAGCCAAAGCATTCAACTTCATTTTCATAGACACAACCACTAGAATGGCTCTGTAGAGTAAAAGTCATACACTTAAGCTTTGGGGTCAGATTTCTTCACTTAATTGTATAGGCCTTTGACAAGTTGCTGAGTTTTTTCTTCTGTAAAATAGGGGTAACAATAGTACCAATTTTCTAGAGTTCTTCTGAAGGTAATATGAGTTAATTCACATAAGCCACACAGTGCTAGAAGAATACTTACAGATAGTAAGTGCTCAATTAGTGTTGGTGTACCCAACCTAGCAGGGATAGGTCCCACAGTTTAGCTTCTAGACTATTAAAGCAGTGGTCCCTGGGTTTCATGCTAAGAGAAAAGGAGTCTAAAGCCAGGGCCAGCCAGAGAAGAACCCTTTCTCCTGGAAAGAGATTTAAACCTGTCTAGAAGACTTAATGCTGTCTACCTTCTAGAAGATTCAGTGCTGTGTGGAGCCACACCTTGCCTGGGACTGTAGGTAGGCCTCCCTGAAACTGCACCTTCACTTCAGAATCCTGAAGGTGGACTGTAGGGGGAGGGCCAGTACATTTTATTCCCTCTTCCTGGTATGGCCACATTGATAAATCTCTTCCTCCTAAGTCAAATTATTCAGGGTTTTTTTAGGATTCTTTTCTGAGAGTTTTAAGATTAATAATATACTCAGAGAATTTAAAAAAATATGTAAAAAAACCCAAAGCCATATTTGAGTTCAAGATGACAAGTTTCCAATTAGATCAGCATGAAATTATTTATACTCTAAATGAGTTTGCTTGGTTTGTTTGATTTTTAGACAGGGTCTCACTATGTATCCTCAACTATTCTGGAGCTATACAGACCAGGATTGCCTCCACATCAGAGATCTACCTCGCTCTACTGCCATGGCATGAGGTCGTCAATATTTAAAAATCCAGTTAGTTCAGGAGTTTTTAGAGGAAAAATGTAATCCCTAGAACGTGGGGTTATACAGATTGGCTGAGGTAAAGCATGGTAAACTCTACTTCAATCCAGTTTCTCTTT